TTGATTTCTAGGTCAATTTGAAGACATGATTTTTTCACTAATTCGACGGGAACTTATCCACAATAAAGCTGACAACGCAACTTCCCGTGTTTGATATCCAACGAACTATTTTGAAGGACGCACCAAAAACCCGTCTCTTTCAAAATTGGTTGCTCTCAGATCCTCTCGCAAGTCCCTGGCCTTAGTTCCGCTCCATTTCAAAATGCTCTTCAGAAGAACGCTGACAATATGCAACTCTCAAATATCAGTAAATTGAGGAAAGAGGACACACATCTGGTGGTGCCGTCACAAAATGCTTTGACGAGGTGATGGCCTCCCAATAAAATCACGTCAATGTTGGTGACGAGTACGCTTTTATGTTAAACTAGCGGCATACTCGGCTTTGCCGCTTTTATAGAATCGCTGAGGTACTAAAACCCAGACTTTGGAATCGACCTTGACCAAGAAAATTATTAGTTACACTGCAAGTCTGTCGCTTTGCTTAAACAGATGATTTGGAAACCTCAAAAGCAAAAGTCATATAATAGTTTATATAAAACAAAAATTCTGAACCGGTACAAGAGATGCGTGCAAAGTCTTTGATTCATATAAACTGCTATGACTTCTACTTGAAATTTTTTGAAAGAATTTGAAAACCCTGGATTGTGTTTCTACAGAAACAAATACACAGATCGGCCCAGACGAGCTTGGTCTAAGAGAATTATGCAAAATTTGATCTTATCTGAAAGCCAAACTAAGTCTACTTCAACCATTTTTAGCTGGCCAATCTGGCTAACCGGCGGCCGTATGACAGCGACCCCAAAAATGCTCGTCATAAAAATGACTTTAGCGATTGCGACGCTCGTTTTGCATAATCAAGGGGATCCTTTGCATTTTATCCGAAAAGAAACACGGGAAAGATAATGAAAGTGCTGAAAAGTTGGTTTTTTGTGTTTGAATAGTCCCGGCGTCAGATACATAGGGCGGGGGGTCGGTATTTTGTTACCTGCGGTTGAGTACTCAGATACCAGCTAACAATAACTTTAGAAGGGCCTAAGAGTTTGTTGTTTCTTTAATGCTGAAAGAAAATATTAATACGCACGATCTGGCTGCTTTTACTCTGTATCGACTACCTGCTATTTTCGTCTAAGCAACCACTCAGTTTCAACGTACTTTCACTCACAAACTGTATATGTTTACATAATCTTGTCTAAACAGTCGGAGAGTTATAATAGCCTTATTTTATTTTTAAGAAAATGAGCTGCCGACAACTGAATAAAGTGTTAAGGCATTTTGCTACATTCCCTTGAGGAAAAGAAAAGGAATTTTCCAGCTCAGCTTGTTGCGAACTAAGAAAATATGCTTCTTATTTCTCGTCAGCTACCATAGAACATCAAAACTACCACTTTTTGCAAGGCGCTGAGTTGAAATCTATCACTTTTGTTGTCCTGCCTTTGGAGTATCGAATTTACGCGCAAATAACAGATTCATTGGTCCTATTGATCATATTTTCTCCTAGTCGGTCAGTTTGACAAATCTTTCGATCTAATTGCCTATATTTCCTTCTTTGAACTACACATTGTGTTAGTAGTCCGCATTGTCGTAGAGGACGTTACTAACATGCAGCAATTGACACGATAACATGTCCCGGTTCAAAAATGGAAGAAGGTGGAAATTACTGACTAAAGTTTTTAATCTTATGCGGCAAAAGATATTTGGAGAGCTCAATTAGCTAATACGTGTTTGGTGGAGAGATCCAGCGAGTGTAAAGGTTTTGCAAGATGTTTTTTTTTTGGCTCAACTTTATTCACAAGCGTTTCATATTATAGCAGATGAGTAGTCATAAACCACAATGTGAATTCCTTCAGATTTCTGGACAAATCCTCGACTGTAGATCATTCGACTACTCTTTGTCAACCTGTTCTTTCTCAAAAGAGACAGCTGTTCCAGTGGGAAACGGCCAGCTCAAACAACGCAACGACTCGACTTATTACGAAAAAATATGCGTGGCTGAGAACGTAGCGAAGTCTGACTAAATATCTGGCAGCCCATGAAGTTGCAGGAAAATGCTAGATTTTTCAGGGATTGTTCACCAACTTTCACTCGCTTTCCGCAAATGGTTCTCGTAGGTTTTGCCGAAGCGGTAGCTGATGCGAGCACTTTTGAGGCTTGTTTTGAGTATTGTCTAGACAGTCTAACTACATTTGGATTCAACTGCTCCAGCGGCATGTACTTTTTTGAGGTGAAGAATCATCAGCAGGTAAAAAGTAGACAGCTCAAAGTTGTGTCCTTTTAGGAAGCTCAGCTGAACTGCATATTAAATTCAGAGGATCGACATACTCAAAATGAATTGTTCGCAGAAGAAAACACTGATATAGTGGACTACTTTGAAATCAATTGTCAAAAGAGAAAAACACGACCGCGAATGAGATCTGCAAAGACCTTTTGTAATCTTCCTTTATCCTAAAATTGATGTCGTCTCTTTCGAAGGAGTCCGATTTTTTTGTCATT